CTCCGCTGGGCCAACATGGCTGGTGCCGCCTCTGCCCACGACAAGGGGAGGGGGCGGGGCGTGCTTGGGAAGGGGGGCGGGGCCTGAGCCGAGGGGCGGGGCGACAGGCCGGAAGCCTGAAGGGGAGATCCCGGACGGGGTCGGAATCTTCTGCGGGGTGGGCGGGACTAGAAGGAGAGTTGAGGAGAAAGGGCAGGGACGCAGCCGGAGGGGCGGGGCGGCGGAGACTAACCCAACGGAGGCGCGCGGGTGGGGCCCGCACCGGATGGAGCCGGAACTGAGAGTGGGCCGCCGAGTGGAGCGCCTTTTCCCCCTTTGCCTGGGGCTGCAAGAAAGGTGGGAACTTCCGTTGCCACTCGGACTCCTCAGGCCCTGAAGAGAAATGGAGACATCCTCTTCTAGGGCATCCTGCCCTCTAGGGCCCTGGCTGATTCCTAGGCCGCAAACATTTCCCCTTCAACAAAGTGAGTTGTTCTTTGGAGGCAGGATAGTAAGAAACTGGGAAAATTCCTTGTGGAATGGGGAGGCTGAGACAGTGGATTCAAACTGGCCTTATCCAGCACCCTGCCTCATTGCCCCCTCCCCTGCAGGGCCAATACCTTAAGCGTTAAGCACTCGGGACAATGAGTGTCTGTCTGACCAGCATCAAATCATATTTGGAACAAAGCCTCGGATCTGTTGGCCACAGAGAACGCGTTTTGGTCTTCTTGTAAGAATTGAAATTTCATGAGTTATTTTTTTCTTAAATGTCTTCTAAGAACAAACAGAAAATTTATTTTTAAAAAATAGAATACAGCTTGTTCTATTTGTAATTACCGTATGGGTCCAATGGACTCTTTCTTGTAAGTCTAGGATTCATCATGAAATCTTAGTGATCTTATTTTTCCTATATCTGGAAACATTCTGCTACTTCATTATCATTGGCATTATTTCATCATTACTCACCAAAATTATTCCAAACTATGCTCTAAAAAAACTAAAAGAATAAGAAAATGGAAGAATGATGGAGTAATCAAAGATGATACAATAGTGAAATAAATCATAACTATTACATCATTTTTCAGTTTTCTTTTTGCAATGCTCATAGTACTGTATTATCTTTCAAGACCTTTATATTATGCATTTATTTATTATATATTTTTATTAAATCTTTATTATTGACTAGAGGCCCAATGCACGAAATTCGTGCAAGGGGCTCGGCCCTGGCGGCCGAGGCGACTGCCCAGCCCTCGCAGCCCCGGTTTCGTCAGGAAGGTTGTCCAGATGGTGTTCTGCTGTTTGGCCACCCGATCTAATTAGCATATTACGCTTTTAGTATTATATATGTCCCCCACTGACCCTTTATAGCCAGCCCTTGCCCCCTACCCCGGGCCTCCACCATCCTATTGTCTGTGTTCATAGGTTATGCATATATGCATACAAGTTCTTTGGTTGATCTCTTCCCACCCACCCATCCCCACCTTCCCTCTGAGATTCCACAGTCTGTTCCATGCTTCTATGTCTCTGGATCTATTTTGTTCAACACTTCATTTTGTTCATTAGATTCCACATGAGTGAGATCATGTGGTGCTTGTTTTTCTCTAACTGGTTTATTTCACTTAACCTGATACTCTCCAGACCCCTCCATGCTGTCTCAAAGGGTAAGAGATTCTTCTCTTTTACTGCTGTATAGTATTCTGTGGTCTAATGTACCACAGCTTTTTTATCCACTCATCTACTGATGGGCACTTGGGCTGTTTCCAGATCTTAGCTATTGTAAAATACGTTATGAACATAGGGCATTGAGCTTTCACTAAATATAGCTAAGAATTCAGAATTCAGAAAATGAATGCAGAGACAGAGAACAGCACTCTAGATCCTAATAATGATAGCAAAATCTTAGACTATGAATCTTTAAATGCCAATCTCCTAGATCAGTGATGGCGAACCTATGACACGTGTGTCAGAGGGTGACACGCGAACTCATTTTTTTGGTTGATTTTTCTTTGTTAAATGGCATTTAAATATATAAAATAAATATCAAAAATATAAATCTTTGTTTTACTATGGTTGCACATATCAAAAAATTTCTATATGTGACACGGCACCAGAGTTAAGTTAGAGTTTTTCAAAATGCTGACACGCCGAGCTCAAAAGGTTCACATCACTTGTCTTAGATGAATTTCTCA